GTTTTTTGTGTGAATGGGACAGTCAGGCAAAGGCACTTCATTACACCAGACAAAACTGGCCTGTTCGTCAATTCCTAGAGCCAGGTAAAAAAAATGTACAGCATATGCCAATAGTAGATTCAAAAAAAAAAATTTTAAAACCACTACTGCATATCAAGTTGGGCCTAATGAAAAACTTTGTCAAGGCATTAGATGGGTCAGCTTTTCAATACCTGCGTCAGAAATTTCCAAGACTAAGTGAGGCAAAGGTTAAAGAAGGTATTTTTGTTGGGCCACAGATTCGAAATATTTTGAAAGATACACAGTTTGAAAACACTAACAGGTATTGAAAAAACTGCTTGGAATGATTTCCGTCTGGTGGTCACTAATTTCTTGGGAAATAGAAAAGCTGACAACTATAAAACCCTTGTCAAAAATATGCTGTCATCGTATCAAAAGATGGGCAGTAATATGTCTCTTAAGATACATTTCCTACACTCGCACCTGGACTTTTTTCCTGACAATTGCGGAGCCGTAAGTGATGAGCACGGCGAACGTTTTCATCAGGATATTTCAACAATGGAAAAAAGGTACCAGGGAAAGTGGAATCCTTCCATGCTTGCAGACTACTGTTGGACTCTTGGTAGAGATGCCCCAGAAACGATCCATAAAAGAACAGCAAAAAGAGAGCGCATATAGTGATTCTTATAAGTATATGAATCTTGTTACTTTTTTTAATATATCGTTAAAAATAAAAAGTTTTTTTTCTAAACCGCAACTAACTTTTTTTTTACTGATCTGCTTATTTTCTTAAAATTATCAAAATTACTTCTGTAAAAAATTCCAGTCATTATCTGAATGCATAATAGCCGCATAAGCAATAATCTATCCATTATTACTCAATTTGAAAAGATCATTAACATATAAATTATAAAAAAACTGGTCCTAACAATGTTCCTTGTGTGTACTGTTATCAATGTACTTATAGATTTTGGTAACAATCAGACGATTTTTTAACTTTTAGACCTTTGATAATGTTTTCAATTTTATTCTGATCAGTTGGTGTCAGATACATAAAACGTTGTGATATAGTTTTCGTGTATGGTTGTTTCTCATTTTTTTTTTGAAATAATTTATTTAAACACAATAATACAAAAGTATAACCAGTTATAACAATAATTCCCTAATCAGTGTTTGCAAACACTGGCCCCGAGAATAACAAGACAATAATTAATATCTATGAACTACAGGTACACTGCAATGTTGCTCATAATTTCAACAAATAAATTCATTAACATTTTTACAATCTTTCAATTCTCTAACAAAACTTCTATAGTTATTTGATTCTTTTATACAATGAGGTAAATTATTAAATTTCTTAATTGCGTCTGTGATCGGATTTTTTAAACCTAGTGTTAGTTCTTGTGGAAATTTGATGAACATTATTCAGTGATCTTGTTTGGTGATCATGCACGTTATGGTAGAACCTAATATTTATGTTACTTTTTAGTAGATTATTTATAATTTTATAAACAAGTTTACATTGTTCCACCTCCAATAACACTCTTAATTTGTTTAAATTTAAATTTGAATAAAGTGTATTAGAACTTGTAAGCCAATCAAAATTAAACTATATTTTCAGAACTTTATTTTGTAAAACTTGAGCTTTATTAAAATTAACTTCACCGCACATACCCCATACTGGCAAGAGGTACCTAAAATGTGTAAGAAAGAAGGCATTATAAATTTGAAATTTGCTTTCGTTGGACAAATAATCTCGACTCTTATATAAGGCAGATAGCATTGAAACTATTTTATCACAAATTCCATTTACGTGAAGTGACCAATTTAAACTTTCATCTATCAGTAATCCCAAATATTTAATACTTGACACTTTTTCTAGCGCTATATTATTTATGTTAATATTTAGATTATTGCTAACTATCTTGTTTTTTTTGTTTAAATATAATGTATTTTGTTTTTTCAATGTTAATTTTTAATCTATTCGAAAACAGCCATTTAAGATAACTATTCAGGTCATCATTAATAAGATTCGTTAAAGCAATTTCGTCTGTTCCAGTATATACCAGTACAGTGTCATCTGCAAAGGTAAAATATCTTCCCCTCAGATTGGCCAACTTGAGATTCAGTACATAAAGACTGTATAACAGAGGTCCAAGAACTGACCCCTGTGGTACTCCATAGGTGCTAGATAACCATTCACTATCAATGTCTCCAAGCTTTATGTACTGTTTTCTGTCATATAAATAAGACTTAATCAAGCTGTACGAAACACCTCTAAATCCCATTTTAAACAATTTATCTAAAAGAATGTCTACGCTTACTATGTCAAAAGCTTTTTTTAGGTCAATGAAAACAGCTACAACTATTTGTTGTTTATCTAGAGCCATTGAAATGTAGTCCACAAAATCAACAACCGCACTAAGTGTGCTACTGTTCGTTATAAAACCATATTGAAATTCATCAATCAATATATTGTGAGTAACAATGAAAGATAACATTCTTTTTTTTATTAATTTTTCTATAATCTTAGAGAATACACACACCACTGAAATAGGCCTGTAATTGTTCATACATTTAATATCTCCCGACTTAAAAAGTGGGGTTATTTTAATTATTTTCAATTCTGATGGAAATATTCCTTTTTGTATAGTTTCATTGATTAATCGTACTAAAACAGATATTAAGTATTCTCCAAGATTATTTACATCCTTAACCGTGATTTGAAATATTTATTGCCAATTTTTCACCTATTTCAGAAATATATTTACAAAATTTAGCTGTTTTTTTTCTCTCAATTTTCCGTTTTCCTGTTCTATGGAGGGAATTTGATTTTTTTTCTGTATGCCGAATTTTATTTCAAGAATTTTAACTTAGCATCTTTTATAATATTCGTTTGTTTGTTTAAGATTTATTTAGTATGATTGCTACAATTACATTCTTTTAAAAAACTACAACAACTACATAACATGCAGTTATTGGGAAAACAAAATTTACATCTCTAAGAATTTTCACTGTTCATGAAATATTCCTCTAATTTTCTTTTAAAAATCTTTAACTTACAAGTAGACTTTATATAATTACTGTAGACTATAAAAGTAATTTCTTTTTCTGTCCGTTTTTGAAATAGTGTATTCAAGCTTTAGTTTACTATCAGTACATATACCTAAATATTTAATTACTATTATTATTCAATTATTTCACCATTTATCCTGTGATGGTATTTTAATTTAGGTATTTTCCTATGAGCATATATTTCGTTTTAGAAGCATTCAATTTTGGTTTATTTACATTTAACCAATTTATGTTATTTGCCAAGTCAGAATTTAGCATTTTTAAAGAAGTGTCATCAGTTTTCATCTGATATTTATATTAATGTATCGTCTGCATATATCTGAATTTTACAATAATCTAAAATATTACAAATGTCATTAATTTGTAAAATAAATAGTAGTGGGCCTAGTTTATTACCTTGTGGTGCACCAACAGCTTGATACGTAATATAGATCCAATTTTGACTGTAATTTAAGTAGTTTTGTAGAATTTGGACTACAGATCGTTTAAATCCATAGTGATGCAATTTTGTAAGGAATTTATCCCTGTCGACAGTTTCAAACGCCCGTTTGAAGTCCAAAAACACTGTTATTGTATGTTTTCTATTATCCACGTGTTTCTTCCTGAATCCAGGTTGAAATTTAAAATTTTATTTCCCTCGACAAATTATTAGATCTGTTCGTAAATAATTTCTTTTTTATTATTACAAATCAACATGGCTTCATGAAGAATAAATCAACTATTACCAATTTAAGTTTATATACAGAAAATTTAGTTGATGCAATGGGCAATGGATTAGCGACTGATGCTATTTATACAGACTTTTCTAGTGCCTTTGATGTAGTTAACGTTTCTTTGCTTCTAAATAAGCCTTTTAACATCAACAAGTGTTATTTTATTACTTTTGGTAAATGTAACTTACAAGATGTTGATTATAACTTTTACAACGTTGGGTTAGAAAAGTTAGACTCTATAAAAGATCTTGGTATCATTTTTGATTCTAAATTATCGTTTAATTATCATATTGAACACATTAGAAATTTAGCAATAAAAAAAATCATTTTTTAAAGAGATTTACAAGAGATTTTAAAAGTATCAGCACCTTCAGTATGTCCAATTCTAAGCCATGGTTCTGTAGTTTGGAATCCTTATCTTAAATATCAAATAGCTTCTCCTGAAAGAGCCAATCATGTCTTTTTAAGATATGTTGCATACAGAACTGGTATGCCGATGAATTTTACCGATCACAACTACACAAATATTTCATACAAAATTATGATTCCAACGCTTGAAAGTGCTAGGAACAGGAATGATGTTTTATTTGCTTATAATTTATTTAATAACATTATTGATAATTTCAGTTTATTGTCAAAATTCAGATTTTATGTGCCACCAAGAATGTTAAGACGTAATAATGTTTATTTTCATGTTATGCCACCTAAAGCAGATCTGATAAATCATTCTCCTGTTTTTAGATTATCTAAACTATGTAATGAACACAGTAGTTGGCTTGATTTGTATAATTGGAGTAATTATATTGTTAGAAATTTATCAAAGTCTATGTTTACATTTGAGTAGTCTTCTGATTTTTTAATATTTGAATTTATGATTACTAGATTATTGCATTTCCTCATTTGAACATCTGATTTAAATTTCGCAGATGATTATGTTAATCTCAGTTGATTGCCTTATATACTATTATATACTAAGTGACATATAAATCCGAACACCCAGTTTAAATGGTTTTATTTTAATAAAAGTTGGTGAATGTATTTATCTTACTGTAAATAACAAGTGAAAAAAATTTCAGCCTTATCAGTTGGACATTCCGGTTTTTATACTGCTTTTTTTTAATTCACTAACGCTCTAAAAATGAATATTTCAGCCGCAGTAAAGAATCAACGTTGGCGGATTTTGGTTCTTGACATCCTTTACGATCGGTTACGATGCCTAGAGTACGGAGACCTGTACGATTTCGTCAACTTAGTGAGTTTGATAGGGGCCGTATAGTGGGACATCGGGAAGCTGGACTTTCTTTTCGGGCAGTTAGAGTGCAAACAAGTGTAGACACTGTGGTTAGGTGTTGTCAGGCATGGCTTCGAGAAGGCCGTACGCAAAGAGCAAGGGGCACTGGACGCCGCCGTAGAACAACAGACCGTGAAGATCGCCGCCTAAGATTATTGGCTTTAAGGGACCGTTTCTCCACTACCAGGTCCATTGCAAATGAATGGCTTGCAGAACACGGAAGACCTATTGGCATGCGAAGTGTTTACCGACGAATGAGAAGTTTTGGCTTGTTTTCATACCGGCCGCACTGGGTCCTCCCTTTAACTCGAGAACACCGACGTAATCGCCTTGAGTGGTGCAGACAACGGTCACTCTGGGATCAGGAATGGAACAGTATAGTCTTTAGTGACGAGTCTCGATTTTGTTTAGGCATGCACGATGGTCGTGCCAGGGTTAGAAGGCGACGTGGTGAAAGGAGGAATCCACAGTTTTTTGTTGAAAGACATGTTCATCACACTGTTGGAGTTATGGTTTGGGGTGCTATAGCTTATGGTTCCAGGTCACCTTTAATCTTCATCAGAGGTAACATGAACGCGCAGCGTTATATCCACGAAGTTCTAGAACCCCATCTTTTACCCTATCTTGACACCCTGGCAGATCCAACTTTCCAACAAGATAATGCCCGACCACATGTTGCAAGAGTCACAATACACTTCTTTCAACATAATGATGTCACATTGTTACCATGGCCACCAAGATCTCCCGACTTATCCCCAGTTGAGCACGTGTGGGATATGATGGGTAGGAGATTGCTCAATTTGCAACGTCCTCCTCAGACTCTAGAAGCACTTCGAGAGGAGTTGGTGGTTGCCTGGAATGAGATACCACAGGAGGACATTGACCACCTGATCAGAAGCATGCCTAGGCGCGTTGGAGAATGCGTAGCACATCAGGGTGCATCCACACATTATTAAAGGTCAAAGGCATTTTGAAATTTTTATCATTTAATTATTATGCTTCATTAACTACTTATACAAAATTTTATTAAAATAAAACCATTTAAACTGGGTGTTCGGATTTATATGTCACTTAGTATACTTTGTATAATGGGTTCGCCCGTAAGTTGAATAAATAAATAAAGACCTTTTCAACATCTGGCAGAACATTTATTGGCCGCATATTCTCTCAATTCATAACTTTCGAAACAGAAGTTATGGTAGAACACTTCAGTTTTGGTGGAAATTCATCATACTGTAATATTCTGGCTCCAATAATATCAAAACACCCATTAAGCACCCTTTCAGACAAAATCTCATTCTTATTTTGATTTGATTTCTATTTTGATATAACCTTCTTGAGACGATTAATGTTTATTCTTCTAAGCTCGCTTAATGATGCATTATAATCTGATCTAATGGGACATTGGTTGGGATCCCTGTCAATAATTGATCTTACAATGTCGTTGACACTTTCTATGAAATAAGTAGTCATTCGATAAGCTATTATTTTTTCATACTGGTAACAGTTTGTTTCTATATATGTACATACTTTATATTCATTTAAAAGTTCTAAGTCGTATGGATATTTTTTTGTATCATTATTTTATTTTTATAATCACCAAAGGATGGAGCCTGTAAAAAGAAAAATCTGGAATATGCGCGATGATATGATGTATCTACAGCTTAGTGATTCATTTTATTGTTATTCATCATTCTATTATTAAGTTCAAGGTCAAATAAAGAGCGGTTACTTGCTTTTAGGGATGTAGCGTTGTGAAATAAACAAGTGTGTCTCAGATGTCGCGAATGACTATTGTATACGTAATACCTAACAATAAAAAACGATTTTTCCCTAGGTAAGGAAAAGCTGCCAAATGGCACAGAGCTACCTCTACCACCGGTAGTATTAGGCTCTCTGATTAGCAATCCTCAGAAAAAGACTGTGCTCATCTACGGGCATATCGATGTCCAACCTGCTGCCAAAGAAGATGGATGGGACACAGATCCTTTCGTGCTCACTGAGAAGAATGGGAAACTGTATGGGAGAGGATCGTCTGATGATAAGGGGCCTGTCATCTGCTGGTGAGTGCTTTTGTTGTTGTTGAAGATTTATTCAGTATTAATACTACAATGTAAATTCGGTTACATATTTTTCTTGAATCCATTTTCTGTAATTTTACATTCTTGGCTATCTAAATTAAAATTACGTCACTATGTATTTTGATTATTCATAGAGTGATTTTTTAATTTCACTTTAACCATTTTTAAATTCGAACTCTGTTTAATATCATTATTCAATTTATTTTATTCAAATACTCCCTTTTAAAATATAGATTTACTAATTATGCTGCTATTACAATTTTGCAGATGAAAATCTATACTCCCTCTAGTTTCGTAGTTATGATAGTAACTATTTAATTTTGTGAAGATCTCTAAATGTGGTGATAATAAATGATTTTTTAATTTGAATTTGAAAACGAGAACTAAATAATATATGAAATTTTTCACATCCAACCACTGCAGTTCTTCTAACATAGACTTAATCCTAGCATATTTGTTTTTATTTAAAATGATTCTCATAGCTTTGATGGTTGATCAATATAAAAAATGGAGAAGAATTATAGTGTTATACACATTTTTTTTTGGAATACATACTATGATTATGGGAAACTCTATAGAAGTAATTTATCTTTATCGATATTTTTGAAATAATGTATTTGTACATTTTGTTTTATTAGTGTTTAATTTAAGTTTATTGACATTCAACCAATTAATAATTTATTTCAATATCACTATTTAACAGTTCTATAGCAGTGTCCAAATGCTTATGTGCTCTATATATATATATATATATATATATATATATATATATATATATATATATAGGTGAAAAATTAAAGCTTCCGCCTTTTGTTGGGTACTTCGACAAAATTTAAGCAAAGAGGACTCTTTATACTTTTTTAATTCTCTCTAGCTTTCAATGGACTTTGCCATCATCATCAGGAGCTGCAATTACAATGATAACAGTAGCAACAATAGTGTGAAATGAATTTAAATTGACTTAACTTACAGTAGTATGTGAGGATGTTGCTAATTGTTGTTTACGTATAGGATGAGGGAAACGTCCAGTAACATGGTGAGAGCTGGATAGATGGTACAATGGTCAAAATTATATAAAATATGACAAGAACAAGTTAAAAACAGATTGAAAGCATTACATCGTGATATATTGTGTTGTAAAAGTTTCTCGTAATTTTGTGAATTCAATGACTGTAATTTCTTTCATTTTATTTTCATCGATCATATTTCTCACTTCGAAATATATCCACGAGTGATCACTTATCTTTGGGGTATGTTCAACTTCAGCAATTAGATTTTGTTCATTAGTTATGAGCAAATCTATTTTTCTTTTCGAATAGTTCGTAATCCTTGTATAGTCATTTACTTTCTGCCATAATCCATTGTTTAAACTTTGTAACATAGAAATCTTGACTGTCAAAATTTATATCGAAGTCTCCTAAATGTACATTTCTACCACAAGTGGGTCCATTCACAAAAAAATATTTAAACTCATCAGATGCTTATGATATTGCATTCCATACCTTTTTTAAAAGATCGTCGATTCAAAATATTGAATGAGTATACCTTTACGTATCACTTTACGTAAATAAAGTAGAATATACTTAAACCGAGAAAAGTGGTGGAGTACATTGTATATACTAAGTGACATATAAATCCGAACACCCAGTTTAAATGGTTTTATTTTAATAAAATTTTTGTATAAGTACTTAATGAAGCATAACACTGGTCAACAAAATTTTAACTTTGTCGTGCCACACGGACTTTTTTGATATTTTTCACTTTAATTGGCGATTGTAAGAAAAAATAAACAGTTAAAAAAATTTGCTAGACAAGGATTTTATTCTATTGAGTAATTTAAAATATTAAGAAAAAACACAGATCTCGTAAATCAAAAGTTATATTTTTTTATAAATGACTTAATAATCTAAGATTTTCTTGAAAATTTAGCTTCTGGTTGGGCTCCATTTGCCCTGGTACCGCTTTTCCATATTAGAAATGTCCTGATGGAACCTCTCACCGTGCTCGTCGCTCACAGCCCCTAAATTGTCAGGAAAAAAATCCAGGTGCGAGTCTAAAAAATGGATCTTAAGTGACATGTTGCAACCCAATGCTTGATATGACAATAATAGCTCGCTAACCAACTCTCTGTAGCTGCCACTCTTGTGGTTACCCAAAAAATTTGAAACAACATTTTTAAAAGCCTTCCATGCTGATGTTTCTAGATCGCTTAATTTTTCTTCAAATCTTGAATCTTTTATTAACTCCCTAATTTGAGGGCCAACAAAAATACCCTCTTTTATCTTTGCATCACTTATTTTAGGAAATTTTTCTTTTAGATACAAAAATCCACTCCCATTGCGATCCATTGCCTTCACAAAATTTTGTATTAATCCTAATTTGATATGCAATGGTGGTAGAAGCACATTATTTGGCTGTACAAGGGGTAAATACTTTACGTTTTTTGGCCCAGGAACTAACGATGCACGCGTAGACCATGTTTTTTTTATATAGTGATTAGTTCTGTCTCGGCTATCCCATTCACATAAAAAGCAGCAAAACTTTGTATAACCCAGCTGAAGTCCAAGTAATAGTGCAACAACTTTAAGATCACCGCAGATTTTGAAGGAATATGTACTGTAATTTATTTTTTCAAGTAAAAGTTTCATATTTTCATAGGTTTCTTTCATATTTGCAGCATGGGCCAGAGGTACAGACGGAAGCTTATTTCCATTATGCAATAACACTGCTTTTAGACTTGCTTTCGAAGAATCAATGAATAAACGCCACTGAGAGAGATCAAAATCTATGTCCAACATTTTCATAATCTCATTTATGTTATTGCAAAACACCAAATCTCCATCCTGAGAAAAATACGTTCTGAAGTGTTGATCACGGTTTCGAAAATAGCTAACTTTTGTATTATGATGTAGCAAATTCCATTCTTTTAGACGTGATCCTAATAGTTCTGACTGCTTTTTTGACAAATTTAAATCCCTAACCAAATCATTTAGGTCTCCTTGAGTTATCAAATGTGGCTCGTTTACAATTCCTTTTAACTCAAAGTCATCGTCCTCGTCAACACATTCACCTGAAGTGGACGGTTGCGAATTGTTCTCAACAGACGTAGTCGCAACTGGTATTAGTTCTGGCAATTTTTTACAATGAGAGACTGGTCTTATAGCCGAAGATAAGTTAGGGTAAATAACTGTGGTTTTTTTCTTGTAATTTATACCTTTTATGTCTGTGAGACAAAAATAGCAATCTGAAACGTGATCTCGCTGTTCAGTCCATATCATGGGTACAGCAGACGACATAGGTCGTGCACCTTTCTTCCAGTCAGTTAAATTTTTCACCACGTTATGCAACAGACATGAGGGGCCCAGGATTTGTCTTGATGGGCGACAGAAAAACCAAAACATTGGTGATAACACTCCAACACAAGATTCGTAAAATTTCGTCGTTGTTTTTGGAATGTTAGTTCTCCGCAGACATAACAAAAAGAGTTAGGATCATTATTACACTTCCTCGACATATTCACATGGTTAATAAATCACAAAAAAGTGTTCAAATTCAACAACAAATATTTTTATAAGGATTTACTTGTAAGCGTTTCTGTTAATTTACTGCCGTTGTACTAGTTATGAGTATTAAATGATGATATAAAGTCTACTTGTAATTTAAAAATTTTTAAAAGAAAATTAAAGGAATATTTCATAGGCAGAGATGCAAATTTTGTTTTTATAAATATCTTCATGTTATGTGATTGTTGTAGATTTTCAAAAGAATGTGATTGTAGCAATAATGCTAAATCTTAACAAACAAATGAATCGAGTATAGTCAGGTCAATCCACAAGGCGGAGAACTTGCATAACGCATTTTTTTAGTTGTTCCTGTTGTCCCCAGGTTACACGCTATCGAAGCCTATCAAAGCCTGGGCTTGGAACTTCCTGTGAACGTAAAGTTCGTTTTTGAGGGAATGGAGGAGGCGGGCAGTGAAGGTTTAGATGATTTGCTGGAGGCCGAAAAGGACAAATTTCTGTCTGACGTAGACTACGTCTGCATCTCCGACAATTACTGGCTGGGCACCGAGAAGCCTTGTATCACGTACGGTCTTAGGGGAGTTTGCTATTTCTACATAGAAGTTGAATGTGCTGACAAGGATTTGCATAGCGGGATTTTCGGAGGCACTGTGTAAGTACAAAACTGGGCTTAATCGCTAAAATATCGAAAATGTAGACCAGAGAACCCGTTCCAATGTTACCAGTTACAAGGTGTAATCTAATTCATGGCCAAAAATACAGGATATGATTCCTTAGCTCATGTTAGGAAGACAAGTTTATATGAACATATAAACAATATACACCTTGGGAAAAAACATTATTATACATTATGATGAGGAAGAGAGATGGAAATATACAAAAGTATGTAGGTGCGTGAAAGACACTCGATTGTAGGATTCTATGTGGCAGCATCGGAATGTGACGGACAACGGGGTAAAGTAGAAGAGTGATAAAAGAGAGAGATGGCGAGAACGGGCGCTGGCGCCTACCGCTTAGACGGATGCGCTCAACAAATGCGATTTGTTTCTCCCATTCGCAGAGTTGCCGATACCAATATGTCATATTTCTAAGAAATCTAAGTCTACCCAAATTTCGGAAAAAATAGCTGCGGATTCCACATAAGAGTATTCCAAAAATGAAAAAAGTTCAAACTATTAAAATTGTATTAATGTTTCATGGTTCAAATCATATTTTTCATTTTTGTAATTGTTGTATAAATGATTTTGTAATCGCTATTCTTGTTGCCAGTAGAGATACAACAGTATTGAGAGAAATCATGGACCGCTAGATAGGGCTACAACTACCATATGACTATCAAATAGTAGTGATAAACAGGGTTTGTTTATAGCACAGTTGCCTGGTGTGGCGAATTTGCGCCATAGGGGCGATTTGACCACTTTGAAGGACAACTATAACGGTTACTATGGTGCCCGGTATTCGGGAATCTGGCAATACCTGATGATTCCTAACGTTTATTACGCCAGATTGTTTGCTGACTTGCGCAGTACAACATGACAATCAACGTGACTGAGCACCTGGTAACCCTGGTTTAAGGTGTTATATTTAAAGAGCTTGGGGCAGTTAGGTATCTAGGTCACATTTTTTAATGTATTTCGAGAAATCCGGAATGTTGAGTAAATACTAGATCACGTTTCTTGCTTAGTTTGCTGAAAATTCTACAATAGAAACAGAGATTTGGTGACGACAAAATCGTAAAAATATAACGCATTTTCGTAAAATAATTTCTTTGTTGAAAAGACTGTGGCTTGATGACCCATTGAACGAGTATAGTGTCCCGCTCCGCTTTGAATATTCGAAACACTATACTCCAGCAGCATTCAGCTTCAATGTTATCTTTATGAAGTTCTAACGTCTAGGCCATGCTGATTAAATGCTTGAATGAATCAACACTTAACTCTAAATTCCCCACAATTCGGGAAGCTCTACTCAAATTGGCAACACAGCGTATCTGCCTATTATTCTCATTCGTGATACAGGTCTGCGGTTAACGGTAGGAAATATGTACGAACAGCGATGAAAGTAGACGAGTCGATGCGCTGTTGGCAAGAAATGATTTCCCATGTATAACAATGGTTTTTCCTAAGCTGTATATATATATATATATATATCCAACAAAATTACTTGTGTACCAATAATCCTAGAAAGCGATATTACTGACCACTTCTCCACTATTTTACTGATATCTTCAAATGAAAAACATTCTAACATTCCTACCGCTAATAACAACCAGGAAAATTACAAATTTTTTGTCGACAATTCAAAACTAATATCAAATGTCAAACAAGAATCCTGGGAACAATTATACTCTATAAATAATATAGACAAAGCAACGGGACTGTTCATAGAGAAAATAAAAAAACTAATAGATATTAGTACCAATAAAGTAATAATTAGTCACAAAGAGAAAAGCAGAAATGCCTGGATTACCAAAGGATTAATAACATCGGCAATAGAAAAAGAAAGACTATATAATGTAATGAAACTAACGCCAACTACAGAGAATACCGACTGTTACAACCAATATAAAAATAAATTTATAGAGCTTGCAAGACAAACCAAACGAAAACATTACCTAAATAAATTGAATAATAACTTGAATGATCCTAAGCGGCTTTGGACAACTATTGATGAGATTACTGGGAAAACAAAAGTTAAAGAGTGTGTCACTGAGTTAAATACAACATCGGGAACAGTATTAAAAAATACTCAACAGATATGCGATGAATTTGTACAATTCTTTACTGACATAGGCGAAAATTTAGCAAGCAAATGTACAAAATACTCAGCCTCCAAAAAGAACTTTGAACTCATTTATTTTGGATAAAGTCGAACAATGTGAAGTATACACCACCGTTATGTCCTTAAAAAATCGGAAAAGTCCTGGGTTCGATGGTATTAAAAGCGAGCATTTGAAAATTATAGCCGAGGACATAACAGAACCACTCACTTACCTAATCAACAAATGCTTTGAATCTGGCATATATCCCTCAATTTTAAAATAGGTAATATAATACCGATACATAAATCAGGAACAAAAACAGATGTTAACAACTATAGACCAATATCAATAATATCCAGTGTAGCAAAGGTTTTTGAAAAAGTTTTATCTACTAGAATGATTCGATACCTCACAAAATTCAAAATTTTAAGTGAAAATCAATATGGATTTACAGAAGGGAAGGCTACATCGGACGCAATAACTAAAATTGTAAATCAAATACATCAAAATATTGATAACAGAATCCCTTCAATCTGCATATTTGTTGATTTAAAGAAAGCTTTCGACACAGTTAATCACAAATTATTATTAGAAGCATTGGAGAGAATTGGTTTCAGAGGAAACGCGTACTCACTGATCGAAAGTTATTTGTCAAATCGCCCACAATCTGAGCAGATATCAGGATCATTTAGTAAAGAAATGTATATTAAGTGTGGTGTCCCACAAGGAACTGTCTTAGGTCCGCTGTTATTCAATATATATTTAAATGATATTTTCCAAATTAATTGTGTTGGCAAAATAACTAGTTTTGCAGATGATACTGCAATATTATATGAAGGCACTGACTGGTCTGATCTGAAAAATGTGATTGAAAATGATTTTATCAAAATTATTCGGTGGTTTAACAGTAGAAAATTAAGCATTAACTACTCTAAAACACATTTTTTACCATTTGGATCTTATGCTAGACATCTGCCAAATTACACAAATTTCTCCTTCAATATTAATGATCAAAAAATGTAAAATAAAAGAGTGCCCAACATAAAATACCTTGGAGTGGTCTTGGATCCTCACTTACGATGGGACATCCATGTCAATTATATTTTAAAGAAAGTTAGATTCGTATCCTACAAAATTAAATACCTTGGGAATATATTGACAGAAAAATATCTTCAAACATTATACCATGCACTGATTGAGCCTCATCTCACATATGGTATATTAGCATGGGGAGCTGCATGTTCCTCACATATCTATAATTTAGATGTTTTTCAAAAAAGTATTCTAAAAATGATATTTAAAAAACCGAAACTTTATCCCACTGAAAAATTATACGCAGATGTTCGAATGTATGATATAAGACAGCTTTATTTCTTACACAGTATCACTCACTACCATAAATTTGTAAACACCGACCAAAAAATTAAACATCATTATACCAGGTACAAAATTCGTGGCACAGTAGTTCCTCAACCGCATAAATCTATAATGCAGCGATCATATCTCTATTTAGCGCCTAAATTTTATGAAATTATACCTAAAGACTTAAAAGATTTACGTTTCGGAAATTGTTTCAAAAGAAATTTAAAAAAGTGGCTACATTCTATATCTAGGACTGAAATTCATAAACTCATAAATACGAACATCAACTAAATACATAATCTACTGCAGCTAATTTTTGTCCTTTTTTGTCATTTGCATTCTACAGTTTCAACTTAAATTATTGGTCCATGTACAGGCGATGCCTTCTATTGGGCCTGTTTTGATTTTATATTTATTTACGCATATTGTTTGTTATCTTTGTACATTGAGTAAATAAATATTATTATTATTATTATTATGTCCTAAACCTCTTAACTGTTCTAGATATTTTCATGAAATTTAACATGCACCTACTAAGCACCAATAGGGATTTTTTGATCTGGAATATTTTTTAATATTTCTACCAGACCAGTGGCGTCTGTAACAGAGCTTTATCAAAAAAAAATTGCTTTTTTCAAACATCAAATCACTTTTGAAATCCTGATTTATTTTGCAACAAATTTGACCTCTTGACTTTTTTCCGACCGATGCACCGTTGTCGCGTAAAAAAAATAAAAAAAAACATTCTGACTATTTTAATCAACTGACTTAAATAAAAAATTAAACAAAATCATCTTACCTACAAACTACCACATGAGATTTTAGCGATGTTGCTATGCATGAAAATTAAAAAAACAAGTTTTGATAATTTCTGTGGTTCAAATAAACATATACATATACTAAGTGACATATAAATCCGAACACCCAGTTTAAATGGGTTAGATAAAAGCTTGGATAAAATATCTGCATAATTGCGGCCACAGATGCAAGTTAAAGAAAATTCACTGTATATAAAGTCAGACTGAATGCTGAGCAAGGTTAACTGACACAAAATAAATTTTTGATTATCGCTTTTCAAGAAGAAAATTTCCAATCTATCTACATTAATAATAGATTCAAAAATGGCATACATATGGTAGGATATGATTGGTCATAACTGGTTGGAATTGACAGTCCTCCTCTTTGCAAATGATCAAAATAAACATTTGTTGTTAATCAACCTTTTTCTTTAACTATTAGCGATTTGCATATCTCGCAGTTTAGGTTTTTAGAGATAGCGTGTGAAACATATCCAGATATTTAAGTCTTAGTACTATCCTCTATGTCACAATTGGCTAAGTAATTTGTCTCAAATACTTCATTGAATATATCAAAAACTTCAGGATTTTGTTTGGTATCCAAGAAATCAAAATTTTCTTGAGTTTCTAAGCAGTTTTGGAACCTTATTTTAATTTCTGCTAAAGAAAATGACGATTTCTTTTCATTGAAAATATGCTTCAGCCGTATTTTCTTTTCAGCATTTAAAATTT